ATATGGGAAATCAGGGTATAATGGTTTTGTTAAAATGTATGTAACAGGCAGAAGGATGCATCTCAGACCGCATAAAGTACGTATATATATTCTTAATCAGCGCGACAAGCTGAGTCGATTTGGCCCTGTCCGTCTGTCTGTCCATCCATCTGTCCGTCATACGTACGCGCATATCAAGTTTATCAGATCCATTTTACAACCATTATTGCCAACAGCTTCAGTGTCATACAAATCTGATGGTACAGTTTGAACCTACCACGCCTGTGCAATGCATTGCAATGGCACACGATTGGTAATTAAAAAATTCACCATTATCCGTTTTGAATGGTAAGTTTCAAGGCGAAAATGCATTGTTACCACGAATCCCTATGATACCCAATTAGATTGGCATACGCGATGACAATCAATACGTCACAAGGCCAAACGTTGCCTGTATGTGGCTTAGATTTGGAAACATCAGGTTTTTCCCACAGACAACTATATGTGGTATGTTCTCGCGTCGGGAAACCATCCAGTTTGTTTGTGTTGGCTAAAAATGGCCCAACAATTCGCTGAATTTCTTTGCTGAATTATTTCTTTTGCAGACATACAATCTTAATGAAACTTTCAGAGCGTAATCATATGCTGAAAAATGTGTACATTCTAAAACACAAGACTCTGTATACGTTTAAAGACGTTCATTTTGCAAATTGTTGGTGAAGAGGGCGTGGTATCAAAAATCTGTAAAATACAAAATGTCTGAACTCATCATCAACCAGAGAGCACATAGACCGGACACGTAGTGTAAAGCGTTTTGCACACTTATTAGCACTTGTCACTTTAGTTTGTCAGCTACTTAAATATAAACGCGCCTCTTTAATTCGAGCCCAATATCGTTCACACAATTCTAAGTTGAGGTAGAGACACGCGAATGTTCACGTCCTATGCTTACACACATACATATACACAAGTGCACATGCCATAATTCCTTCCGCCCGTTAAATACTTTTTCACAAAACCATTATACCCTGATTTACCATTTTCAATTGGTTCAGGGTATACAAATTTCCGTGGTACACTAATAAAATTAAATGCTAGCTCACTATAAGAACTTGAAGTAGAAAATAATACACATAAATATGTATGTATATCATATTTAATCAAGATGTACTCTGTATTGTGAGACAATTATACAATTATTCAATTTTTGTGCGTTGCTGAGTTGGATGATTTGAGAGACCATAGACAACTAACGCGTAGCTGTGCTTCATTTAAAAACGAGCCGCTTTTGTTAGAGCTTAAGCAGCGCACTGACTTTGTCGTGCCTTATTTTCACTGCTCCAGCCTCAAGAGACTGAGCCGAGCATATACGAAGTTGTCTGGTCTCCAGAGCATTGAAAAAAAAATTGTACTACATGTCTAGTCTATGTGTTCTCTAGTTGGTGTGTGTATATACATACATATGTACGTACATATATTTGATGAATACAAAGATTTTGTAATTTACTAATTCGCCCCTTATTTGTAAAAAACGTATTTCAAGTACTGGAAACTTTTACTTTGGAGTGTATACAAATTTTAACCATATTGCTGCATTCCCGCGAAATGAACACATATGTAAATACTTGCAAAAATTAAGAACTCAATTCAGCTGGAGGGATCTAGAGTCTTCTTACTTGTTTTTGTCGTGCAGTTTTTTCACCCGAACCTCCAGCGACCGAGCAAATACGAAGTATAGTGTTCCGCCAACTTAACAGTTTCCAGCTGTAGAAAAGTTTGTTCTACATGTCTAGTCTATGTGTTCTCAGGTTAGTGGTCGGATGCAACGTTAAAAACATAATTTTAATCGAATCGACTTTGCACATCACTTGCATTTCATTTTTTTTACAGAGTGATTGTTTTCTTGTGATTGGTATTATTGATAAGAAGTTGTAAGGCTATTAAAGTTTCTATCTCGCATAAGGTTGTATTTGTAACATCAATGAGCCTTTAAAACGAACTCAAGTTAATATTTTTCTTGTTCTACTTTGATTTAGCCAAACTCTAAAATTATAATTGATAAATAAATAAACATTTTTCCACAACAGGTAAACATATCACGCTAATCAACTTTCTATATTTAACATGGGTAAATTTTTTTGATTATATCTTTAGCTTTCAAACCGTGACACATAAACTTATAAAATTTACTATTTCGAAAGGATGATGACAGAAAAAATTGTACCCGGTCACCCAAGTTTGCTTAACAAAGGGTTTGTATATATTTACTCCATTTAAATATATGTATATATTCAATTCTTGCACCTCAATAAATAAATTTTTTGATTATACCCATGTACATACATATATTGTCCCTTACAAGTTATACAGAAAATAATTGCTTATTATACATACATACATATGTACCTTCTTTATGTGTTATTATTATAGTGTTATTATTTTATAGTTTTTTAGGTATTGTTAACTGTTGCTTTTTAACGTTTTAGTTTGTATTAGAGATTATTTCAATATGCAATTAGAAAATGTTAAAGTTAAAGTCAAAAGAAGAAATATTTAATCAACGTCCAATTAAATGAATTGTGAAATTGATTGATATTTTAAGATTCACTAAGCCATAAATATATTTTTAGAATGCTAAGTGATCATCAGACTGCCAATAACTTAGCCGACGACATGGGATGGAAATCGAAACTGAAGCTTCCTCCAAAGGACAATCGATTTAAAACAACAGTATGTATATTTTTATCTCATCAATAAAGTAGGCTGACTGGCGTATGGATGCTAGAGTCAATAATTTGTTTGCAAATATAATAATATATATTTAGGAAAATAATTTATAAATCCACTCAAATTATATTGACATGACATTTATGAATACGTACTAATAATAAAATATTTTCAATTGTGGATTATTTTATGCAACTTTCCATTTCTTGTATTAATGGTAAAAATTGTTTTTCAGGATGTGACAGATACTCGCGGCAATGAATTTGAAGAATTTTGTCTAAAACGAGAACTACTAATGGGAATTTTCGAAAAGGGTTGGGAACGTCCATCGCCAATTCAAGAAGCTGCTATACCTATAGCTTTAAGTGGTAAAGATGTTTTAGCTCGGGCAAAAAACGGCACTGGGAAAACTGGAGCATACTGTATTCCAGTTTTAGAACAAATAGACCCGACTAAAGACTATATTCAAGCATTAGTAATGGTTCCTACTCGAGAACTGGCGTTGCAGACATCTCAAATCTGCATTGAACTTGCTAAGCATCTTGATATTCGTGTAATGGTTACTACAGGAGGTACAATTTTAAAGGATGACATTCTTCGTATTTATCAAAAAGGTATTTTCCTCAAAAATTAAGCTTTAAATTATATTATATTATACTTTAAACTAATTGCATAAACATTTTTAACAGGGCTAAAAATCGAATTTATGTGCATTTTATGAAGTATTTCATCTAAGCTGTGAAGACAAATAGGGTAACTTCTATAGAATGGAGAAACTTAAGTTAGCTCCTCCTTTCTAGACTAGCGTTTTCTAGACTCGAGTTTGGCAAATACACATATATAACTAATATTGCCATATTAACGAGAAATGTTATTGAACAAATAGGTTGCCGTTATAGCCAATAATGCTATTTCAATATTTCCTCTTCAGATAGGATTTGGGCATAATAGTTTTAATCAAAGTATGTTGCAGGGAGAAGGAGGCTTGGTAGACCCAACAAAGTATACATATTGATCGGGGCGACAAGTTCAGTCGATTTAGCCCAGTCCAAACGAAGGATGAATGGCAAACCCCACAAAGTATATACATATATACTTGTTCAGAGCGATAGTCAATGTCCGTAAATATAGCGCGGATATTGATTCGATAACTCTCCGTTATCTTTTATCGATTAAAAACCTTATCAAAAATCAGTAATCTGATTATATCTGCTACATCTTTAAAGCTAGAGTCAAATTTTAAGCATATGTACATATATTCATTTTTACAAATTTCGATTTTTTATATAATTATTTATTGATTCATTTTTTATTTCGAACACTAGAGACTTGTGCTTTAGCCAATATAAGAATTTTAATAATATAATCACAATCATAAAGTTTCATGAAGAAAGTACATCCACAAGAAAAGTTATTAAACATTTATTATCCGCATGCAGTTCATGCGTGTATTCGTGAGTATGTGTGTGTGAGTGTTTGTATTTCTTGTGTGAGCAGGAAGAAGCAAAGAATTATTTAAATAAAGTTGAAGGGCTCAGGCCATCTCATAGTCGAGCAGTCTCTCGAAAAAATTGTATGTAGCAAGATGTAATTCACAAAAGTCTGCTTTATAAATAATTTTTAATTCAACTGAAACCTACCAGTAAAGAGTTTAAATTAAGACAATACTAACTTGTTAAAATATAATAATAAAACCTCTTTCATTTTAGTACAATTAATTATTGCAACTCCGGGAAGAATTTTGGATTTAATGGATAAGAAAGTAGCAGATATGTCCCATTGCAAAATATTAGTCTTGGATGAAGCTGATAAGCTGCTTTCATTAGATTTTCAAGGCATGCTGGATCATGTTATTTTAAAATTACCCAAGGATCCACAGATACTACTGTTTTCTGCAACATTTCCATTAACCGTAAAAAATTTTATGGAGAAACATTTGCGTGAGCCCTATGAGATAAACCTTATGGAAGAGCTAACGTTAAAAGGTGTCACGCAATACTATGCGTTTGTGCAAGAGCGACAGAAAGTACATTGCTTGAACACTCTGTTCTCAAAATTGCAAATAAATCAATCAATAATATTTTGCAACTCTACACAACGTGTTGAGCTCCTAGCAAAAAAAATAACTGAGCTCGGCTATTGCTGCTACTATATTCACGCTAAAATGGCACAAGCACATAGAAATAGAGTATTTCACGACTTCCGACAAGGTCTTTGCCGAAACTTGGTATGCTCTGATTTGTTTACTCGTGGAATTGATGTACAAGCTGTAAATGTTGTTATTAATTTTGATTTTCCGCGAATGGCAGAAACTTATTTGCATCGAATTGGTCGTTCTGGCCGTTTTGGACATTTAGGTAAGTAATTATTACTTTTCTAAAACCTTTTTTAGAACTCTATGTAAACCTACCTCAAAAACGCAATGTATGTTAAATAGCATTACATATATGAAATTTTAAATTCAGTCTTTGAATATGCTCCTAGATAGGAAATGCTAGATACAAATATTTGGAGAGGTAGGTGGAAAACCCCACAAAGTATATATCTCTTTGATGCGGGCGACTATCTGAGTCGATTTGGCTGTCCGTCCGTATGTATGAACGCGTCGATCTCAAAAGATATATATATATATATATTTAAGAGCGTATTTGTATTTCAAAGACTTGCGCTTTAGCACATGCACGCATTTTGTCATAATCATGGTCTAAGAGTTTCATGAAGTCCACCCACAAGAAAACTTATTAAATATTATTTTGCTCGAAGGGCTCAGGGGATCTCGTAGTCGAGCAGTCTGGACTAGAGCTTTTTTACTTGTTATACCCTGAATCCATTGAAAATGGGAAATCAGGGCATGATGGTTTTGTGAAAAAAATATGTAACGGGCAGAAGGAATCATCGTATAGTATATAATATATATATTCTTGATCAGGATGACGAGCTGAGTCGATTTAGCCCTATCCGTCCGTCCGTATGAGTGCGTCGATCTCAGAAGATATGTATCGATGAATCATCCGATAACTTTTTTATCGAGAATAATTGAAAAAACTATTCAATTTTTTCAGACTCATTTGAACAGTTTTAGACCAGGAGACTTCAGATTTACGGTGTATATACATAAGATGAATACAAACTTTTTTTGATTTACATTTTTTTGATACCACGCTCCCTTCGCCACCAATTTGAAAAAAAAAAAAAAAACATTTCAAGAATTAGAGACTTGTGCTTTGGAATGTACATACATTTGAACATTATGATTACGTTCTGAAAATTTCATTCATAAATTCTCATAATATTGCCCACACTGCAGTTAGTGGAGCACGTTGTTATACGT